TACCATTCTATATAGCAAGTCCCAATACTGGAGTGTCGAATGCAGGATGCCAAAAATACCAGAATGTCCCACTATGTTCAGGCAGTATGCAAGCCAGCGAGCTTTTCTGGCCATTCTGACCCCGTAGCCTCCACATAGCGGGTAGTACGTCAAATACTTCACAGGATCTTGTGCAAGTACAAAACAAGAGACAATGTACTGACGGATAAAATTCCCACAGTGGAGATATGAGCAAGACAGTCAAGTATTGTGGCAAAGTGGTGTGTACTTTGGAAGAGCAGCTGCTATATATTTATATATATATAAAGTGATTGTGAGCAGTCTACGTCTCTTGGCTGTCTTGGGGATACCTTGGTACTCCATAGAAGAGCTGGAGGAGGTGTGAAGGGAGGCTTCTGCCCCCGTGGCCCAGATCCAGATATGTAACAGAGAATGGCTGGATGTAGAAGAGATTACTTTATTAATGTAGAATCTGTACAACATCTAGGCCTTAACTTGCCCCCAGAGGAGATATTCGACTAAGGTCCTGGCAGGTGAGAGCTGCTGTGGTATTTTAAAGTCCTTATGAAGACTGCACACCCAAGAACCTGGTACATGGCCCCCGTAAAACCACAAGATGCTTTTATGCATAAGGTGGTAACTTGGATTACAACAACAACACCTCTGAGGTGGATAGACGGATTCTTTCGGACATTCGTTTCGCCCTGTTTCCAGTCTTGGTGCTAAGCTAAGCGAAGCAGCTTTACATCTACCAGTCTTTTCATCCACAACATTAGAAGAATGATTGTAATTCATAAACTTCTGAACTATTTCTTCAACGTCACTGAGTTTTAATCAAGTGTTTCAATAAAAGAATCCAAGAAGAAATTAATTTACATCGTGTGTCGGAAGTCTTTCGAAATTTTCATATCTGGGGAGAACACTGAGCGTGTTGCTTAGAAACTGCAACCGCATACGTTATCTGTTTTTTCAGCTTCTCGACGTTTATGAAGAAAACGACGTATCGCGCGTGTTTTCATGAGTAAATAAGAGTTTGGGTAATTAGGCAAGCCTTAGAGCTGAGCTCAGCCGTAGAGCTGATTCCCATAGCTAAGGGCTTTCTTTACTTCTCTACTAGTTGAACAAAAAAATAAATAAATCTGCTGTTTTTTTTGTGTGAAGCCTGTGTTTTCTCCAGATGTGAAAGCTACGGTCTGACAACTTTCAGGACGAGCTGTGACAGTGCTTATGTTCGCTCATCACTGCCTCTGCATCTCAATCAAACTGCTTCTTTTTTTCTTTTTACCTTGACAGCTAAAAAAGTGTGAGCAAAGCAGCCGATCAAGACAGCTCGGATTCCTGCCTATTAAAAAAAAACCAGAGAGGCTGATGATGAAACGAAATGATGAAACCGACGAGCTTTTAATCAGAATCTCTTTATGCTGGCACTCGGTGGGAATCCTCCATCACCTCATCAGCCCTCTGTATCCTCCCCCGCTGGACGACGGGCAACCTCCCAGCGTGCCTTTGCTGCGTGGCCTTTTCAATAATGTAGAAAGGGGAGGGAAGAGAGATAAAAATGAGAGAGGAAACGATTTCCTGGCGCTGTGGGAGCCCCCTCTGTGACATTTACCTCTAGCTAGGCCCTCGACGCATGTGTGTGTGTGCGTTTGATGGCCCTATGCCAGACTAATGATACCCCCCTCTGGCACACACACTCCCAGCACAAAACTCTCCTGCTAGCGATGCCACATGTGTCCTTTAGAATCACACCGAAGGGAAAGAAGGAAGAAGAGCGAGGGAGATAATAGCCGAGAAGGTGCAAAGAGTTTAAAAAGGGAACCTGCAATGCGCTTAAGTGTGGAGCTAAGGAATAATAGGAGGGAGAGGAGTTAAAGGAAGAGGAAAGGTTAATGAATAGAGACAGCTTTTGTCAGTGAGTGACAGAGAAGGAGCCATCATCCTGTTTAATCCATCAGCTCCACCTGTTACCATTTCATACTTCATTAACCTTCCCCCCCTCCACCTCCTCCCTATTTGCACCGCCGGGTGGTCTCCTCTACCTTCGCGGGGGGAGTCCGCCGCCCCCCCACCTGGACACATGGCATCTATCATTACCTCCCTGCTTCGGCTCAGGGCCTGCAGAATGTCACACAGCGTGAACGTGAGGCTCCGAAGACGCATGAAATAGAGGGAAAACCCCAATGAATAGCTTTAAAAAGATGAAGTGCGCTCCTGGTGCCTGCAGTTTAAGTTACTGGAGGGATTCATTGTGGCGCTGCATAAAGACGACCGCATTGTCAGACCAAACATTGTTGTTAAGGAGGCATCCCTCTGCAGGCAGCTGTCCGTTTAGAGCTGGATCATACCACGTGGTCGACGTTATCAAATGCATTCATCAGATGCCTTTTTTTCTTTATAGACTTTGAGCAGCTTTGCTATAGAGTTTATTTCACAGCTGTTTTGGAGCCAAGGTGATGATTTTAATTGTATTTCAAGCGAATTGTTAACATATTTATCACTTGGAATACATAAGAATCATTAAAGCAATTAGTTTTTAACTTTAGACAGCAGCGACTACAGACAAAGGTGAATCCGGACATGTGGAAAGCTTCTACTTATTTTTTCACAACTTGATCTTATGTAAAGCTACTTATGACCCACATCACTTGGTGACATTTTTATTTTGCCACTTGATTTCATTTTTTTAAACCAGAACCTTGTAAAAGGGTCTTAAATATAGACTAATGTATCGATTAAATGGTTTTGTGGTGGACCTCTATGTAGCCTCTATGTAGGGAGATGGCTTGTGTGGATGTTTGATGATGCCTGGCTGAAGAGCATCTCCACATCCCATATTGGAGCTCCAGACTTGCACCTTAACTCTCTCCCCACCTACCGTCCAGGCTGATTGGACCACCATTCATTCTCCCCTCCAATCACCTACACCAGAGTATAAATCTGGAGCAAAACTTGCCATCAGGGCAGCTCGTCTTGGTGCATCTCATTTCTTTTTGGCTTTATGTGACGATGTAGCTCCTGCTAACAGCTCTGTGACGGAGTTACTTGTTGTCTTGTGTAATTTCTGTAGCCACTGACACATGGTTGCTTGTTCTGAGGCACTCGTGTGTTTGGTTTATTCTTTGCACCTTAACACAAATTTGTTAATTGCTGTTGTTAGTCACAGGGGTGTTGCTGTCTTGTCTTTAACTTTGGGGAAAGAGTTTAGTTTTTCTCTTTTGTTATTTTGTCTTAGCAAAGCTACAATTCTGTTATCCTTCGTTTGGTTTGCTGATGGCCCACCAGCTCTATTTCTTTGCAGTTTTGCCGCCTTTTTCTGGATTATTTACACCACCTGGTGTGTCATGTTCTCCCCTTTGCCTTAGCAGAGCTGGGATGTAAGAACTAGTTGCAACATACATGTTATTTCGCTAAAAGACAAGAGGCCCCAGGCAAAACGTAAGATATATCAATGCAAAAAAGGAGTGCAGAAAGCTAAAAAGGGCAGAATTCTCCAATCATGTTAGGTGGAGAGTTTATCTGTGGACCTGAAGCACCTCATAAGTCAAAAATAAGACAGTAAAATAGCTCTAAATGAATCATGTCATGGTGTTTTCTCACCTGCTTGAACGAGGAATTCACACACATAGGTACAGGGTTTCTATTCATTTAATTGAATTCATTCAATTTAAAGGCATCCAACTTAAACTGCGCGCTACATCGCTGGCATCATCCAACTTTTTCCAACTCGTATGAAAAGCAGAACTATATCTTATCACGCAGAGACACAAGCCTTTGTTATCCAATCAGTTATCATCAACAGACGCCGTCGTGTCTTAAAGATGACTTGGTGTCAGGGAGCTGAAAAGAGGTCAGAGCTCAGTGTCAGGGTTTGTTTACAGCGAGAGAGAAGAGATGGCTGACTGGGCCGCGAAATCACCCACCTGTCTGCCGAGACAAACGACAAAATAAAGTGAGAATGTGACGGCTCTGTCAGAGATTAATGCTTCCGAAATCTCTGACTTTGAAAACAAGCCTGAGAAAACTCCGAGAGCTAAAATACACAAGAGAAAACCAGAATAAAGGACTTAATAACTTCTGTTTTTGTTAGAATTTTAGTCTGGGTCAAATTGTT